GATATGAAATTAGCACTACCATGTACAATGCGCATCCTTATTTTTCCCTTACAAATTTGGGCGAAAAAAGTGTGCATTATACATGGCAAAATACGGTACTTCATGTATTAAAACCAGAGAGAAGCAGCCAGAGTAAACTCAGATAAAAAAGAACGACTCTTGGGCCGGCTGAGTGGCGCGATGGTTAGGAACTGGCTTGGGATGCCAGAGGGCCCCGGTTCGGATCCCACATATGAGGGCCAGTGACACTGCCCTCTACAGCTAAGATGCTGAACAACAGCTCAACCTGGAGCTGGGCTGCCATGAGTCGCCGGCGCCGGCGACGGCGTGGGCTGCAGCCCCTGTGGCAGTGGGTTGCCATGGGCTACCGTGTGTAGCCAGCAGCCAGCGTGAGCGGCCAGCAGCCACAGTGAGCGGCCGTCCAGAAGCTGGCAACTGATCTGCCTCGCCCGGGAAGAGCGCAATGATGGTGCCAACTTGGGCCAGTGAAGCAACGTCCTCCACAACTGGACTGAAGAACAAAAGGACAGCAACTTGTCTGTTCCCCTTCCCCCAATTCCCCAGCGCTGTTCCCATCCCCCAATTCCCCAATAAAAATCTAAAAAAAAAAAAAAAGAAAAACTCTTTGCCATTCCGAGCCTTCAGACACCTTACACTAGAGCTGCACCATGCACTATTTAATACAATGGCCAGTATCCACATGTGGCTAATTAAATTTAGATTCATTAAAATTAAAAATTCAGTTTCCTACTTGCACTGGCCACATTTAAAGTGCCCAGTAGCCACAGGTGGCTAGAACTTATTGGATTGGACAGCAGATTATAGAAAATTCCCATCTTTACAGAAAGTTCTATTTGGCAGTGCTTCTCCAGAGTTTGCCAGGGAAATTCCAAAATGTCAACTTCATTGACTGTAGGCCATCATTGAGTCCAGGTTTCGACTGGCCAACCTAGCAGACTATCTACACCATTCCCAGACGCTCAAGCCATGTATTAAACCTAGAATTACATAAGCTCATATTGATAAATACATATGGCTCAATCAACTCTTCCACTTCACTTTAGAATTCATTCACATCCATGCTCCCCGCACTCTTGCCAATACTGATTGGTTGTAATTCTTTTCATGCATGGATTTCCTCTTCCACCACATACCAGGTCTCATACATCCTTATCTGGGCTATACTGGGATCCACTCTTGTTATGGACATGGAGGTAATAAGGGTTGTGGGAGTGGGTCCTACAAAGACTGGAAACCCCTCCCTGGCGACAGAAAGCTCCCAGGTACAGTCATTGAAAGGTGTTTATGCAGAGGAGGACTTTTCCTCCCGGGTGGGAAGAGGTGTTTCGTCTATCAAAAAGGGAGGCCCTATGGAACTGGGGAGCTCACAGTTCTCAGTGTCACCTGTTTCCCCATTCCAAATCGAAGGGTCCCCACTCCTTCTCCCACAAGTGCCCTTGACTTAGCATTAGAGACTGGTGGGAGAGGCATTTAATTGGCCCTGCCACTCTACAATCCATACAATACAGCCCTGGATTCTTAGCCATATCTGTCTGCCCTGCAACAATAAGAAACGAAGGATTGCTTTACAGTTGGTATAAAGGCTTTTGAAAGAACCAGACGCTGAAACCTTCCCTGAGTTACTAGCAGTTTTGTGGGGCATAATCTAGGGATGATTGGGACTAACCTTGAACATCCCCCATGAACAACTCCTGTCATTGAAATCTAATATGTACTCTACACATCAATTAACATGACATTCTCCAATTCTAAATAGCTCTCTATCATATATGTCTATTTCATGTGTGTATCTGCAGGTACTATGCTTTTAACTATATTGTTAGCTTTGTGAGGACAAGATTATCTCACAGCACTTAGTAAATTCATGTTTACTAAATTCCTAAGGACCTTCTTGCTCATTCTGGAATATCAAGCCAGACAAGTGGCAGTGGCTGTGTCTGGGGCCCTCAATGATGTGGTGAGGGGGGAGGGAGACAGGTCTGAGGGGAGTCTCACCGTGGAGCCATGAAGGACCTCCATGGGCTCCCAAGGTCAAGCTGAGTTTTCCTCATGAAACAGCTTTCCAGGTACTTGGTGTCCACAGACTTGGGAGCTGTCTGACAGTTCCGCTAATCATTCACCCCTTTGGCTTCCTGTTCGGCAACTTGTGGGCAGTGTCTGGTTTGGGATGAGTGATTCCTATCTTCAAAGTCAAGGTCAGGATGTACACCAACATGCAGCATTGGTGCCAAGGTGGGGGTCTGAGCATCCCAGATGGGACCTTAAGTGGAACTACTTGTCCTCATCTATGCTACTTCCAACTTGGCACTGCAGTTGGGTCAGTGCTGCTGATCTCTCTCCTCCTCTGGCCACTGACAATCAGCTAATGGCTTCCAGGCATGGCCAAGAAGTAGACAAAAATGTGGTGGTTAGGAGATGAATGGTGTCTGCTTATCCCTCAATATCTACTGTGTCCCTTAGACCCACAACTCTGAAGCGATGGAGATAACATGACTAGTGACCCCAAACAGCCATTCTGACACCTGCAGTCCATTCTAGGTAGAACTGGGCTACTCAGAAACAAGCACTGGCTCTTTGCAATGGTAAATACTTGTGAGCAATGGACTTTGCTGCACAAACAGCCACTTCCCCTCTGAGCAGCTCAGTGACTTCCCAGAACAAAGGCAAGAACCAAAGAGAGTCCCAGAGATTTCTCATCCATGACCGACTCCATCACAGTGTCACACTCACAGCTTCCCTTTTTACCTTCTTTCCCTGAGCAGTCAACTCTTTGAAGTTTCCTTGGGATTTTTGACCATTAGCTAAAAAGGAAAAATCGTGGGGTAACAAAATCACTCCCTTCTATGCAATAATCCCCCCGTTTCCCTCCCTTCCTGTTCCCCTTTTTTCTCCTCATTTTCCCCTTTTCTCCTCTTTCCTTTCCTCCTCCTCCTCCTCTTACACCTTCTTCCTGCCCTCCACCTCTCTCTTTAGAGGCTACAGATGCCAAAGCTTTTTTTTTTTTCTATAATAGAGAAATTGAAGCTCTGCTAATTAGGGGGAAATTTGGGCTGGAATCCTGGTTTCTCAATTTCCAGTCAATTTTTTTTTCCCATTTCACAACCCTGTCTTCCTAAAGCTGAGATTCTACAACTGAACGTTAACAGTGGTTATTGTCACCTTTGGAATTGTAGGTGCTTATTTTTCTGATTTTCTGTGTACAGGTTTTTCTGAAAATTTCTACAAAGGCTATGTATTAGTTTTGCATTAGGTTGGGTAAAGTAGCTGATATAGTAAACAAATATAAAATTTCCCATTGCTCAACCAAAAGAAATTTATTTCTTGACCACATATAGTCCAAAATGAGTGTTCCTGAAAAGTGTAATCCAGGAAACCTGTTACTTCCATCTTAGGCTTCCTCCATCCTCTACAACATATGACTTTCAAATAAGCTGTGATGTCCTATATAAAGCCAGAGGAAAGTATGTGAGGGA